CAGATACACAGACCGTGCAGCGACTGCCCTGATGGGGAAGCTTGGAGGGCCTGGGAGCTGAGAGACGAGGCTCTGACACCTGGTGTCTTAGTTATCTAGTGCTGCTATAAGAGAAAGACCACTATGGGTGGCTTTAAGAAACAAATTTATTTTATCACAGCTTAGGAGGCTAGAAGTCCAAATTCTGGGTACCGGCTCTAGGGGAAGACTTTCTCTCTCTGTCGGCTCTGGAGGAAGGTTCTTGTCTCTTCTGAGCTTCTGCTCCTGGACGATCGTCATGTGGCTTGGCATCTCTCTTCCCCCGTCTCTGCTCTGCTCACTTGTTTAATCTCTTTTATAGCTCAAAAAGATTGACTCAAGATACACCCGAGACTAATCCTAATGCATTAACATAACAGACAATCCGTTCCCAAATGGAATTATAACCACAGGCATAGAGGGTAGGATTTTCAACACATAATTTTGAGGGACTTAATTCAATCCATAACACCTAATCAGGGAGGGCCGACGACATCTCCTAAAGGAAGCAAAGTATACGATATCAGCTGAAGCAGGATTTGTATTAGCCTCTGTTATGGATTGAATGGTGTCGCCCCAAAATATGTGTTGCAAATCCTAACCCCTGTACCTGTAGTATAATCCCATTTGGGAACTGGTTTTCTTTGTTATGTTAACGAGGCAGTATTAGCGTAGGGTGTGTCTTAAATCAATCTCTTTTGAGATATAACAAGAGCAGATTAAGCAAAGAAGCAGAGATGAGGGAAGAGAGATGCCAAGCCACATGAAGATCACCAAGAAGCAAAGGAACAGAAGCTGAAAAGAGACAAAGACCTTCCCCCAGAGCAGACAGCGGGGGCAGGGGGGTGGGTGGCTTCCTCTAGAGGTGGTGCTCTGAATTCATACTTCTAGCGTCTTAAACTGTGAGGAAATAAATTTCTATTCATTGAAGCCACCCACTTGTGGTATTTCTGTTACAGCAGCACTAGGTAATTAAGACAGTCTCCTAGGGCCACTGTAACAAGTACCACAAACTGGGTCATTTGAAAAAACAGAAATTTATAGTCTCACTGAAGTACAAATCCAAGGAGTCGACCTGACCATGATCTCTGAAGGCTCTAGGAGACGAGTCTTCCCTGCCTCTTCCTAGGTTCTAGGGTTTCCTGTCAATCTTTGACATTCTTTGCTTGCTTCATCTTCACATGCTGCTCTGTGTCTCTTCTTTTTTATAAAAACACCACTCATATTGGATAAGGGCCCACCCTACTCCAGTATGACCTCTTGTTAACTAATTACGTCTGCAAAGACCCTGTTTCCAAACAAGGTCACATCACAAGTACCCAGGATTAGGACTTCAACATATCTTTCTGGGGGACACGATTCAACCTATAACAGGATTTATTCAGGAACTGTAGAGATTGAAAGTGTTCTGGGTGTGTGCAAAGGGCTGAAAACAAGAGAGAGCAGGGCCCAGTAGGGGAATGGTGCGCGTATGCGAGTGTGCGTGTGTGTGTGTGTGTGTGTGTGTGTGTGTGTGTGTCTGTGTGTGTCTGTGTGTGTGTCTGTGTGTGTGTGTGTGTGTGTGTCGGGGAGTGATTAGGGGAAAGAATAAGTTTGGTGAGAGATGAAGCTGAAGAAGCAAACAGTAGCCATATGATAAAGGGCCTTGAAACCACTTTATGGGTCTGAGTTTAATCTCGAGGAGAATAGGGAACGATTGAAAGCCAGGGCTGAAATATAAGATGATTTAAAGATCTCCACAGGCTCTAGCCACTTTTACTATTGGAGGCTCCACCCACATCGCAGTAAACATCATAAAATGAATCCATATCACAATTCTTTGTTAATTAAAAATTTGAAAGGAGTTTTATAATTCTGATTTTTAATTATTGTCAATTTATTAATTTTAAATTTTACAGTTTCTGTTTATATTTTGAAGCCAATAAATTTTTTTTGGCTTGGGGACTGTCAGGTCCTTGAACAACAGCTCCCAGATCCCATGCACTGTGCTATGGTATCTAATGAAAACAAAATGTCGAATTTGTGCTTCAGAAAGATCACACTTTAGAAAATAGAGTCAAGATTGAATTGGGAGGATCAACTCTGTGTTCTCAGCTATGAGGTGGCAGCTGTAACATACCTGACAGATGGTCAGGGCTTGAAGTAATGCTGTGATTGTGGAGGGAGGGAAAGTGGATAGATCTGGGAGAATCATAATATTTACAACTGGGTGAATCCACAGGAGTTGGAAACAGGTAGGATTTGACAGATGAAAGAAAAGGAAAGACAATAATGGCACATTGGTTTTGATCTCTGACAACTAGGTTACGCTCACCACCAAGCTGGGCACCCAGGAGAAGCAGCAGCCAATGGAAAGGGAGATGGGGAGCTCTGGGCATGTTGAGTTTAAGGTGCTTGTGGAACCTACAAGAAGAGATGTCCAGGAGGCATCTGGGGACCCCAATCTGGAACGCAGGAAAGGATTGAATTATGGGTTTAGATTTGGAAACCATCAACATTGAGGTAGAAATTGGAAATGCATGAAAGGATAAGGCTTATTGAAATGAGAGGACAGCTTTAGCTCCAAGGGCACAAAAACAATCCAGGGAAGGGCAGAGGCAGAGGAAGGGAGTCCACAGGTATGAGCAGGAGTCTCCAGAGAGGAAGGAGGTTGACCAAGGAGTGGTCTAATGGAAACAAGGCAGAGAGAGCATTTCCAACAGGAATGAGTGGTCAGAAGAGTTAAAACTTCAGATGGATTGGGAAGCATGCTAACCAGTCACTGGGAGTGTGGCAGGTCATTGAGGACATTCCTGTCTAACAGTACATGGCAGAATGTATTAAGAGGTCATTCAAGAGCATTACATTCCTCTGCCTCGTACCTCATCTGCTTCTTCCTCATTCAGTCATCTTCCAGATTGGTGAAGGTCAAGGATTCGGTGTCCAGCATTCAAGTGCAGGTGGTAGTGTGGCCTGGTGGGTGGCACGATGGGGTATAGGGGTTGAGGGAAATTCCCAAAGAAGTCTTCCTGAGGAAGGAAGATCAGGGCCAGTTTTGGAGGAATCCTAGGATGCACTTAGCAAGGGAGAGAGGTGGAACCATTCTGGCAGAGGGACACCAGATATCCTCTGACCCCACAACTCTCAGCCCAATATTCCGTCCCCAGGTTATATCTTCAGAAAAGTTTAAAATAAGGACTTATCTAAAGACCACCCTAAGGATAGAAGAACAGGTGTGCACACAGCCCTTCCCCTGGTCACCTCATACCTGAGTGTCAGTGTGAAACCATAGGAGCCAGAGGTAAGATTGTCTTTGCCATGGTCTCTGACAAATGCCATCTTGTTCTGGGTAGGTCAGACCTGGGAGGCTTGCTCCTTGACACGACCATAATGACGTATCCATCATTCATTTGTTCATTCACTCATTCATTCATTCCTTTGCTGTTGCATTCATTTGTTGCATATTTAGTAAGTGCCCACTGCACTATGTAACCCGCAGCAGAGATGAAAAGGTGACTAAGACGCAGTCCCTGCCCACATATGACACACCGCGTAGAGGTAAATTGTCACAGTGCATAAAGTATTCCTGGTGCTGTGAAAATGTCTGTACACAGTGCAGTCAGGGTGCGAGGCAGAGAGTGGCCAGGTTTGCCTGGGAGGCGAAAGGATCAGGAAAGGCCTCCCCGAGTCTCCAGGCAGATGTGGGCAGGCTTTACAGGCAGAGGGAGGAACACGGACAGAGGCATGGAGGTGTGAAGCTGTCCAGCGTGGTGAATAGCCCTTGTGGGAACTTCTGACTATACATAGTTGGCACTTTCAGGAGTGTTGAAGGAATGCCTGAAATGACACCATTTACTCTTCTGGTGATAAGCGTCAACCTGACCCACGCACTTTGTGAAAACACAAACACTGCAGGAAGGTAACACGTGCAGCTACAGCATCTCCCTGTGCCAGACCTGATCAAGTCCCTCAGTCTTGGGCAGAGCCTCCTGGGACTCGCAGCTCTCAGGACAGTGCGCTAACCCCTCCCGCTTCACCCTCCCCCAACACACTCACCTGCCGAACCTCATTATTCTGGGCACACGAAGCAGTTAAGGGACAATAAGAAAAGTTTCTAGTGCTCCTGACTCAGACAGTAGGACCTGATGTTCTGTCCTGCCCTCCCAACTTCCCAGGAAGGGCCTAGGTGTATCATCCCAGGTCCCCATTGGTGATAAGCCCAGGCTGAGTGCAGGATGAAAGCTTTTAGATTTCATGATCAGAATGGTTGCTAAGATAGCTGGTTGTTCAAATCTCCACACGTAAATTTGTTTGATTTGCGGTATTGCAGAGGCTATCGCTACCCTACAATAACTTCCCCATTAGTGCCTCCTTCTCCAACATTAATAATTTATTTCTTTGGGTTAAACACTGTGGGTGCAAACTGGTGGGAAGGCTGCCTAAAAATGTGTCTGTCCCTAGGAGGATTACACAGCTTGACTACTGTGTTGAGACTAAGCTCATCAAATCTCTTTTCTCTGCATCTGGAGGGTCAAGACAGGAAGATGATCCTCAGTGTCTGGAAGGGGAGCCCCTTGGAAGGTGGAGAAGGGCATGGAAAAGAGAGATGGGGGAACTTGAAGACCCACTACAGGATTTAGCCCAGGAATGGCTCTCAATTTCACTGTTGCCTGAGCCACAAACCTACTTCATACTGTCAGTGAGATATGCCTGAGATGGCAGCTTTTGTGTGGTACTTACATGTGGTACTTGTCGTGTACCAAGTTTATTCATAACTGATTCTCACAGCAGCCCTATCTTATCGTATAGAATTAGAAAGATTGCTTACAGAGGTTAAGCAACCTACCCAAGGTCACCCAGCTGTGAGGACAAATCAGGTCTCCTAACCCTGGGTTGAGGCTCGCCTCCCTCCCCCTTGGCCTCCCTGGTTCCCCATCCTAACTGACAGAGGAGCTCAGTGAAGACACACCCTGTGCCCTTTCTCAGCAGAGCCTGGAAGGGCCATGTCCCTCATCCCATGGCTCCGTTGGAACGAGACCTCACCACGGCTGTCATCCCAGAGCCCAGCTGAGATGGTGCTGGAAACGCTCATGATGGAGCTGGCGGGGCAGATGAGGGAGGCTGAGAGGCAGCAGTGGGAGCGCAACAATGTCGGCAGGAAGATCCGCACTGGCGTGGACTATAGCTGGCTGGCTAGCACGCCCAGGCCCACCTACGACCTCAGCCCCGGAGAGCGCCTGCAACTGGAGGGCGTCTGTGCCAAGATCCACCCATCCTACTGTGGATCCACCATCCTCAGGTAAGCCCTGGCTCTGGAATGGGACTCACTGGAGGGCTGCAGCCCAGATGACTCCAGAGAGGGTGGATGCAGTGGCCTGAGGCCGCCAGAACCAGGGGGCCCGTAAGACCCGGTTATCTGTTAGAAGGGCAAGGCAGGAGGAGGAATCTGAAAGATGTCTGGAACTCCAGGCCAGGGCTAAGGGTTCAGAGGTGGTTCCTGGAGGCACATGAAGTTTGACAGGAGAGAACCCAGGGCCTTTGTGATTTCTACTCTCCCTGCCTAGAATGTTATTATCCTGCATATTAACATAGCTGGCTCCTTTTCCTTCTTCAGTTCATCTTCAATGTTACCTTCTCAGAGAGGTTTTCCCAGACAATCTCTCTGAAACAAGTGTCTCAACTATCCTATTTCAAACTACCTTTCACTAGCTGGCCTATGGAGTGAGTATATAAATACGTATGTCTGTGTATATACATATATATGTATGTATGTGTGTATATATGCATGTGTGTATCATATAGATGTATATGCGCAGGTGTGGGCACTGAACTTAGAGGTTGGGTACAATAGTGTTTTTGAATATACATGTAACCCTAATGAAGTTGTGATCCACATGGCCCAGTCTCAGCTGGGTTGGTGTTGAAGTCAAAGAAACATAGTATAGCAACCATAAATAATTTCAAATAGCTCGAGTTCTTTACCTGCATTTCTCAAATACTGGTAAAGGAATACAGATCTATAATAAAACATCTTAAAATCCCCCTTAGTCTTCTGATATTTCCCGCACCAATTCCTTCACCAACATGTGCAGCTATTCTATACCTTTTTTTCCCCAAAACTCATCTTAAAAACTCCTTCTCCTTCTCTGGCCCTTTGGTCTTTGTAGTTTTTTTTTAATCCCCTCCGCTTTCTTACTTCAGGCCAAGAATCTTCCCTTCTCCCATTTTTCTGATTCTTTACCATGTAAGTCCCTCCCTCCCCCCTCCCTTTCACCTCCCATCCATTCTACCCCCTGCAAATGTATCTGGCTCCAGAAGCACCCTGGGGCCTGGGGTGGGTGTGAGTCATGGTGTGGTAGTGCTGAAGACAGAATCTGAGTTGGCAAACCAAAACCTCCGTATATGAGGAGGAAAGCTGGAATGTACATGTCACTGCTGAAAAGTTTGAGAAGTCCTGACTTTCAATATGGTAGAGGAAATTGGGTGGTAAATGGACTTGCTAACTATTGTTAATTCTTGAGCTCTAAGCGAAGACATCTTAGGAGAGGAGGCAGCTTGTGAAAACACACAGGGACCCAGGAAAACCTGGGGCGTTTGGGGAATCATATTTGATTCTTTCTGGCTGGAACATTGGGTCCTCTGGGGAGTAGCAAGAGTCAGTTCGCCAGGGTCTGGAGTCCCAGGCCAAATAGCTCAGCCTCACCCAGAACGTGATAGGGAGCTGCAGGAATATTGCAAGGCAGTGACATGATCAGATATGCATTTCAGAGAGAGAACTCTGACCACTGGGCAGAAGGGGTGGAAGAGGGGTAGTCAGAAAGCAAGTTAGTGAGGCTGCGTCGCAGTGGGCTCCCCGTTAATACTCCAGCATTGAAAACCTTCGGTAAGTGCCAAGATCTTTACACATGTTAGCTGAGTTGTTAAACCTCATGAAAGGGTAGACACCACTCCCAGTTAGGTCCCTAGATGGCGCAAACTGTGCTAGACTGCTAACCCTCAGGGTTAGACCCCTCTCCACGCGGTGCCCCCTGTGCCTGGTGAATCGCCCCACTCGCCCTCTGCTCCCTCGCCCAGGTTCCGGCAGCTGATGGCGGAACACCAGCCCGAGGTGCAGGACGTGGCCCGGCTGTTCCTCTCGGTCTTGCAGGAAGTCCTGGAGAAGATGAAGCAGGAGGAGGAGGCCCACAAGCTGACGCGGCAGTGGAGCCTTCGGCCCCGCGGCAGCCTGGCCTTGGCCACTTTCAAGACCCGCGCGCGCATCTCGCCGTTCGCCAGCGACATTCGGACCATCTCGGAGGACGTGGAGCGGGACACGCCGCCACCGCCCCGGACCTGGAGCATGCCCGATTTCCGGTCGCCCCAGGCGGACTGACCCTCTCCCCTCCCATCCCCAGGAGCTGAGCCACCTTCAGGAGGGCAGGGCATGATAGGGTGACTGGCCATCGGGCCCTAGAACATCTCCCACCTGGCCCTGATGAGGAAGCCAAAGAGGCGACTCAATCCCAAGACACTCCTGGAAGACAGAGCAACCGCTCCCCGCCCCCAGCCTCCCCCACTGCTCACAGGGCCCGTAGTTTTAGGGCCTGGAACTGGGATGTGGGGCTCCTTCTCCTGCACAAGTCTGCTGGCAGTAGCCCCTTCCCTGCCTCGCAGAGATTCAGAGCCTTGGCAGACAGATCAGGCTCCATCCCCATCTTCTGCTTCTACCTGGAAAGGCAAGGTTGTCCCTGCCTTCTTACCAAGCCCCAAATTCGCACCCTAACTGCAGGGTTGTCTGGTTCGCTCCTCTCCCTGGGTAGTGAGGAGGGGCCTGTTGGTTCGTGTCCACTGTCAGTTGGTGACCAGCTGTTCTCACCACTACAGGTGGATCACACCGTCATAGGCTGTCAGATCTGGAAGGGATCACATAGTCCATTAAGCTCACCCCCCTCTGCTAGTGAATGAGGAAACTGAGGTTCAGAGAGGGACGGGCTCCTTTCACCATAAATAGCAGCCAGATGCCCATGGGCTGTGAGGTTGTCCCTGAGCCCTGGAGTCCTGGGCTGTGATGGGACAGGTCCAAGGCCACATCTCCACCTGCCCGAGGGTGGGGGTCTAAGCTACTGTCGGAGAAAGTTAGCTGGTGGGATATGGCCGGTCTACAGCAGCTTCTGCCACAGGCTAAACTTCAAGGCCTTTGAACTCACTGCTCTGGAGGGCCAGGCCTCTGAATTCCAGGGCCGATTCTATATCTGGTTATAGCTGCTGTCTGTCTTTCCTCAGGAAAAATGATACCCAAACCTCTAACTGACCTCAAGGCACCTGAGTAGAATGTTCTAGAAGAGCCACCCTACAGGGGTCACTGTCCTTTCATCTGATGACACAGTTAGCTCTTGATGATGAGCATGTGGCTTATCCACTGGGTGGATCATCCATGGCAAATCTAGAAGGCCAGCTGGCCTCCTGATAACCCTCTGGGGCTGAAGTGGGGATGGGTATGTATGCGACCGGGTGGGGAAAGTGCCCCCAGCCGTGAGTGCATGCTCAGGAAATGCAAGCAGATCTTAATATTTGTCCAAATAAAATACCAGAGGAGATAAATCAACCAGAGGAAAATTTATATATTCCCTGACAAGCCAGTGAAAAAAATTTTTTTTAATGATCTGGTTTTGGATTATCTTCATTAAAATCTGGATGAAGATTGATAGGGTGGGAAATCTCTTATCCAACACTATCAAGATGAAGGCGTAGATTGGCTCATTAACATAATTAGGGAAAGTTGGTAATCATTTAAATAAAAATACACATCTTAGACATCTTACACATTTTATTTTAATTCAAGACATTAAAAATTTCATTCAATTGCCAAACTTTTGCTGGAGGTTCAAGCTGTGTTCACTTGTTTGTGAGTCTGGGCTGTGTGATGGGAGTTCTATACTTAAGTTTTATTAGTTTGTGTTCATTTTAAATTAATCATCATCATAAGAACAATGGCATAAACAAATTTTGGAACAGACAGAAGCAACCCTTGGTAAGCAGACAACTCAGCTAGTAGGTGCAAAAGTGTTGGGTGATAATACTTGCTACTAGCAAAGGACCCACTAGGCATGAGCTGTCTGAGTGACCTAGATGTGGATCAGTGTGTTTTTCAGAGGGAATGGAGTGTCTCAGTTAGCCTGGCAGGCTACAGGAGGCTGGCTAAGAGAGTGTCTGCTCTTCTCCTTCTTCCCCACCACACTACATGTAGCTATTTTCGCCAAAGAAAATAAAACCTGAGCCTTTCAATGTGGTGTTCTTTTTAAATTTAACTGGCAGCCAATGACAGCCTTCCCTGCATTGTTGATCGTGGCATGGACAAGCTCAGCCAACCTCAGATCGGACGGATGGAACCCACTATGCCCCACAGACTCCTGTTGTTCTGCTGCAGTGGATTCCCACTGGTGACCCTCAAACTTGTGAGGGCGCAGAAGTTGTTCCTCTGGATTCAGGTTGTTAGAGGGAATAACGATGATGTCTGCTTCAATGCCTATTTTTAAAAACTCAGTAAGAACAAATAAATTTTTTCCTTGAAAACAAAGCCACTTGAGAGACTCCTTGTGAACATCTGGTGAGCATTTAGTGGTGGTTGATGGGAATGTGTTGAGCAGACTAAGGTTCAGACAAGTAATTGGATTGTACCCAGTTCAACACCACTAGCCACTAGAGGGAGGGGGTGGTACTGGACCGCTCGGTAGCTACATTTTTCCTTGATTATTATGAAAAACTTCAAACATACAGAAAAATAGACAGAAAAGTCTAAGGAGCCCCCATATGCCATCATCAATGTTTAATAGTTATTAACATTTTGGTATGCTTGCTTTATTTATTTATTTTTTGTGTGGAGTATTTTCAAATAAATCCCAGGCATCATGATATTTCATCCCTGAAAACTTCAGTATGCATCTCTAAAGAATAAGATTTTCCTATATTACTACGATCCCTCCTAATAAAATTAAAAGTAATTCCTTAATATCATTCAATACCCAGTCCCTATTCAAATTTCCGTATTATCCTGAATGATTTTTGCAGTTTATTTCTTTGAAAGGGGATCTAACCAAGCTCCACACATTGACAAGAAAGTTGCAATTTGTTTTATACTTAGTCATATAGTGTTTATTTAATTCCACAATGAAGTATTCTTTAACAATAGAGACCTTAAGGAACATTAGTGTTGACATAAAATAAGTTAATGACCTGCAGTGCAGTGAATTACTTACTACGGCCCTTCTAGCCATAGTCTTTGTAACTCCCACCAAATGACTGGGTGAAGACTATGAAAATGAGGTGCTTGAGCCCCTCAAGGGGATTGGATAGCTTGTTAATAATGTAAATAAGTTGCACGGCACCCTTGTGGGGTTGGGAGCATGCAAATAAAGTGTATGGAACCCTAATGAGGGCATTGGTCAGTTTTGTCATCCCACTGGGCTTAAAACAAGCCATCTCAGAGGTGGGAAGGGATGAACTCACCACCACCAAGAAAGAAAAACCAGGAGTGGAGCGCATCCTTTGGGCCCAGGATCCCTGTGCTGAGAAGCTCCTGGAACCAGGAGACTGAGAGAAAGCTATAACACTGAAGACAATGAGAAGTAGCAGCAAAGAAATGGCAGCAGCAAAGAAATGGCAGCAGCAGAGGCAGGAGATAAGCAGGAGACAGAGCAGTGGGCTTCCTGGCCCATGGAATGAGAAAGCTGAGCACCATCAGGCAGGAGACTTGCTAGTGGAGTTGGGTGCCTCCGGGCACTTGGTGGAGTTCGGTTTGCCGACCCACAGAGCCAGAACTGAGTGCCTTCAGGCCGAGGCTTACTGGTGGAGTGGGGTGCCACTGGGTACTTACTGGCAGAGCAAAAGAGCTTTGTAACACTTGTTGGAGCAGGGCAGAGGCCAGGCTGAGAGGCCAAGGGCCGGAGAGAGACCTGCCTGCAGCCACGGCTGAGAATAGGCTGTCCTGATAGAAGAACTGTATCCTGAGTGTTCCTGAGCCTGAACTGTAACCTGTTACTTCCCTAATAAACCCCATAATCGTGAGTACTGCCTGTGAGTTCTGTGTGGCCCTTGCAATGAATTATCAAACCCAGGAGAGAAGTAGAGAGTGCCGTGGCCGGGGGGTGGGGGGACAGTTGGTATTAGAATTGTTAAAAAAGGGGAGACCGAGGAGTCATGTCTGACCTCCACCTCATAGGATTCAGCCTTGGCCTGCTGATCTTGATTCTCCTTCTCCCTTGTGAAGTTAGAGGAGGTCAAATGCCCCCACCACGCCATTTTTACATGACTGCACATAAGCAATATAATTTTCTAAATTAGCCTAAAGACACTCTTTACTCAGACCCTTGTTATATTCTTTGGATTAAAATTCTTCCACAGGAACCAACTCAAATACTTTGAAAGTAATGTTAAAAAGAGACAAAGACACGCAAAAAATGTGTTACTGCCTGTATGTTGGTAAAATAAATAAACAGATAAACAAACAAACAAATAAATACATAAATAAATAGATAAATGCGAACCTGGTTTAAAAAGAGAGAGAGAGAGAGAGAGAGAGAGAGAGAGAGAGACTTGACAATATGGTTTTATTTATTTATTTATTTATTTATTGTACTTCAGGCGAAGGCTTACAGAACAAATAGTTTCTCATGAAACAGAAGTACACATGTTGTTTTATGACATTGGTGAACAATCCCACAACATATCAACCCTCTAACTTCTCAACATTTTTTTTTTTTTGGTGAAAATACACATAGCCAAAGATACACCATTGCAAAAATTTCTACATGCACAGTTCAGTGACATTGAGTACGCTCTTCCAATTGTGCTGTTATTCTCACTTAAGATGAAGACTTACAGAACAAAATAGTTTCTCATTTAACAGTTACTACAAATGTTGCCCTATGACAATGGTTAACAATCTCACAACACATCAACAATATCCTTACTCAACCTTGGGTTCCCTATCACCACCTCCTTGTCCCCTTCTGCTTTCTGGCCCTTGTCACTGGACTCCTGTACCTCGTTAGTCTCATTTGGTTTTACGGGGCTGTCCACTCCCAGACTGAACAGTGAACCTCGGAGGTAACTTCACCACTGAGCTAAAAGGGTGTCTGGGGGGACGATATGTTTAATCTTACTTTTCATTTAATGAAAATGAAGACTCTCCACACTCATATGTTTTATTTTCTGAGACAAGCTTGCAAATAGCAACCTAAAACTTTCTCCCATTTTCTTGCCATTTACAGAAACAAAATACTGAAAGTTTTCCTTCACCCCCATGGTTCCTTTTTTTAGGGCATTTATGACACCCAGCGACAGCTTCATGGACGTATGACCTGTGTAGTCACACGAGGCCCCATGCTTAAAAGG